GAGAATTTATAAAAGATGTAATAGATGAAAGAGTGAATATATATCCATATGTTATAAGAGATGAAATAATAGAAGAAAATGAAGAAGAAACAAAAAAGATAATAAAGAAATATCAAATAAAATGTAATCCAAAGAATAAAAGAATAGTTAAAATAGATAATAAATATGATAAATAAATTAATATAAAACATGTACATTGATGATATGAATGTAGAGATAAAGGAGAATTGAGTACAAAATGTGTACTATCATATTTTGAATTAAGATATAAATTTGAATATAATAAAAATAAATGTGATAAATGAATTTGTGCATATCCAAGTAGTTGAAATAGAATAATGACAATAAATCTAGTTATGATTATTATTGGATTAATGATGATAATTGTTTAATTGAAGAAAGAATAAATTATTGTTTAATGTTTAATTTAATAAAATAAATAATAAACAGATTTATATCAAATAAAATAAAAGAATAGAAATAACAAGATGAAATAATAAAATTATAACATAATAATAATCAATATTAAATATAAATAAGAATAATACAATAAAAAGAAGAAAATAAAGAATGAAAATAAATAAAATAATGATAAGAATATAATAAATAAGAATAAATTAAATAATGAATCAGATAATAAATTATAATAAGATATAAAATTAAAGATTATAATTCATAAATAAACATATTATATATTATATTAAAGAAATAAATAGAAAATAAATAATAGAGAGAATAAAATAAATGAATAAATAATAAATATGATGAGTGTATTATCAAAATTAGAAAATATCATAATTAATTTAATTTAGAATTGTTTCATTAACATAATATATAAATTTGATAGGAAAAGGATAGGTAAATCTAATAATAAGAATATAAAAGAAAGAAATATAAATAAAGAGAAAATAAAAAGGGGGTAAAATTGAATTTATTTTTATAAATAATGTTTAATCATAAAATTAAATAATTTCAAATAAAATAAATAGAAAAATAAAATAATTGTATTATGTTAGTTTTCAAGATAAAAAGGGGGTAATAAAATAAGAATAAATGAGAAAATATAATTGAATTGAATAAAAAATAACAAACGAAATAAATTATAATAAGAAATATATAAAGAAAAAGAATAATTACATTAATAACAATGATAAATAACACAGAAATGAACAAAAATATAAATACAAAATAAAAGAACAAATTTCATAAAAACGATAAAAATATGAATATAAAATAAAAATAAATACAAATAACATTACATTAACAATAATATTAATAACTTTATGTAATGATTATAAAAAATGTAAAAAAAAATAAATAAACATCATTAGAAGAATAAAGAAAATATAATAATTCGTCATCCATTAGTATTTAATGAAATGATAATAACTATATAATAACAATGACAAAAGTGTATACAAGAGAGGACAGAGAACGATGTGGATTGAACATTCCAGAAGGATTTAATGCAATTGGTGGTAGTTGTTTTGAAGGATGTAGCGATATTGATAAAATTAATATCCCCACATATATTACATCATTAGGATATAAATGTTTTTATAGGTGTAAATCATTAACATCTATTAATATACCAACTTCTGTTATTAAAATTGGATATGAATGTTTTAGTGGATGCGAATTGTTAAAGTCAATTACTGTTCCATGTTCAGTTAGTGACATAGGAAATGAATGTTTTGGTGAATGTCCATCATTAACATCAATTAATATTGAAAATATTCAATTTATTAGTGAGGATAGAATGTTTGTAGGAAAAGAAAAACTCGTTTGTATTAAACTTGGTAATTTGAAAAGAATAAATGGAAAAGAAATAAGAGAAAGAGATGTTAATGAATTTGTTATGCCAACATCAATCACTGAAATAACGGATGGTTGTTTTGAAGGGTGTATGCCATTAAAATCAATTAACATACCATCATCTGTTAGTAAAATAGGAAATAGATGTTTTAAAGAATGTAAGTCATTAATATCAATTAATATACCAACGTCTGTTAGTGAATTCGGATGTTGGTGTTTTAGTGAATGTCCATCATTAACATCAATTGATATTGGAAATGTTCAATTTATTAGTGAGGATAGAGTGTTTGTAGGAAAAGAAAAACTAGCATCAATTCCTATTAATAACTTAAAAAGAATTAATGGAAGACCAATAAGAGAAAGAGATATTAATGAATTTGTTATTCCAACATCAATTAGAAAAATAGGAGATGGATGTTTTAAGGGATGTTCATCATTAAAATCGATCAATATTCCATCATCAGTTAGTAAATTAGGAGACAATTGTTTTAGTGAATGTTCATCATTAAAATCAATTAATATACCATCATCAGTTAAATGTATAGGAGATGAATGTTTTAGTGGATGTAAATGTGAAGAAGAACTAAAGAATGATAAGAGAATAGGAAAAATCTACATCCAAAAAGGTGAAGAAAGTGATTAGGATGATGAGTCATTGTGTAAGTGAAATGACTTTTTAATAAATTTAAAGTTTTAACAA